TGTATTCATCTTTTATTTAGACCTTATTAATTTTCTTGAAGATTCACGTGAAGCAGCACTCGATATATTTAAGAATATAATTAAAGCGATTGATGATCATCAATTGAATATTTATAAATTGACCAGCATTGGTCCCGACAATGCTAATGCTAATTTTGGGGAATATCATTCAGTATTTAAATTGTTAAAAGTCGTTTACCGCATATTCTTAAAGGTAGGCCCAAGTGTATATTGTAGATTAATCTTAATATGTTCAACCTTCAATGTACATCTACACAATTATATTATTTATTTATAGGAAATTGTTATGCTCAAGTACTACACAATGGAGTTAAACATGCGCATGATGTTTTAAAAAGTGAATGATAGAGAAATCTACACAAATTGCATGTTTCTTTTTTCAGGTTTTATTACAACATATTAACATTAGATGGTTAAGTTTACTGCCTTCAATCGAACGATTAATTGAAACATATGAGCCATTAAAACTTTATTTTTTAAATGACCAAACAAAAACAAAAAAACTCCCTGCAGCAACCGACAACACACAACTTTTAACATCATTTTTTAACAACCCCGATGGATTGTGTACTTTAAAATTTTTAGAAAATGTATTAGTTGATATTCAACAAGTTGAATTAAATCTACAACGTACATGGACAACAGCTGTAGATCTATATCGTATCATTACCAATTTAATGAAAAAATTAGAGCAAAGATTAAATGATAAATATTTTGGAAGTAAAACATGTTGATCAAAATAAAGTTGAAGAATTACAGCAATCATTTGAATTATTCATTAAAGCTGTTATTGAATATATTAATTTTTGTCTCGAACCGGAAAAAAAATTCTACGAAACATTATCAGTTTTAAATAGTCAATCGATTTACTTTTTTAAATGGGAGTAATTTATGAATCTTGTCGATGAAGTATACAATGAATATTGCGAAATCAAGTTTATGTTCGATAATATGAAAAAAAAACAATGTTAACATAAATGAACAAATACAATCATATATTGCAAGTAAAAATGTTCATAATTCACAGTCAACCACAAATAATAATTACGAAGTTTTATGTGCCATCAATGATACTGAAAAAGATGATTTATTGAATAAAGATCAAGATTCAAAGGAACATATTCAATCGGATCAGTTATGGGCATATTTGTTGAATATCAGACCAAATACAACGCCAAATATGAAATTAATTATTTCTTATGTATTTTCTATTCCGTGTAGTAATGCATATGTGGAAAGTATATTTAGTCACATGAATCACCTATGGTCTGATTATCGAAATAGAATGGATATAGAATTAGTTGCAGCTGAATTGAAAATTAGAAAGAATGCTGATATTCCTTGTACGCATTTTTATAAATTTATTTTATCTCAAGACGATTTGTTAAAAAATAGCATCAAATGAAAAATTTGTTAAAAAGAAATGTATTATTGATAAATGAACTTTAGTTTGTTTTCATATTAATGTTTTAAATTGTACACAAGGAGATATTTAATTTTGTATTGCTTTTTTCATTATCTATATTTTGTCATTGAAAATAATGGTTTATAAAAACAAAGTAACTTATGTATATTTTTCATTATGAATGAATTGTGCAAGAATAAATGATAATTAGCAATAAACAACATATTTTTCCAATAGAAACCTCAAAATTTAGATCAAAACGTTGCATAATTTTTTTCTGTTTTT